GACTCAAGTTAGTAGTAGCCAATGGTTTTCAGCGTCCATGGCTCGGCCGGACATGTTTGCTTGCCTATTTGACCGTGATAACTCTGAGTACAGAATAGTTTCAACGCAAGGGGTCTTGAAACTGTTAAAAACATCGTGGGCAGCTATGGAGGACTTTCTTGGTAAGTAACTGTGTTTTCTTCTCGATCTTTATAATCATACTTCACAAATTCAGCCCAAAAATAAGGTTTATTCATCACGTTTCCGAGTCTCCACGCGTCCCCGAGTCCCCGAGTCCCCGAGTCCCCGCGTCCACGTCCCTGAGTCCTAGGTCTCCTAGTTCCACGTCCCTGAGTCCTAGGTCTCCTAGTTCCACGTCCCTGAGTCGGACGACTCCTAGTCCCATGTCCCTGAGTCCGACGTCTCCTAGTCCCACGTCCCCGAGTCCCCGCGTCCCGCGTTCCTCGTCCCAGGTCTCCAAGGCCCACTTCCTCGAGTCCCAGTCCTCGCGTCCCCGTCCCACTTTAAGTCACAGCCGTCCCGGCGGGCCATAACTACACTGGCGGCACATTGGGCATGCACTCAATTATGGTTAACTTCACAGGTATAGCTCGCATAGTCAAAGATATGAAGTCTCCATTCGTGTGCACTACATACCTAATCGGCGAACAAAGGTTTAGTATTTCGATTACAACTCGTAAGCTGTGCACTGTGCAATTTCACCAATTAGGGACAAAAGTCCCTTCAACCTATTGTTTTACAAACCGCCACCACCCGCCCATAATATATCAATAATCGTAGAATTGCGCTCCTGTCAGACTCTAGGTTGAGTTAACTTGTATCTGTCGAACAAAAATATTTGAACCGATGATGGTGAGTACACCGAAAAAACACTTCCCAGTTCTACGAGCCATAATGATTTTTACGCCGGAGTCTGGAATCACCACCAGAGGAAAGACTTCCCAATGAAGATCAGTGGGTTGGCTTCGATGACTCAAACAATTCTTTGAATGCAGAATCTTTCATTTATAGAGAAATAATTCCAAACTTAGGGAGTCAGATAGAAATGGAAGGTAAAGTTAAAAACACCTTAATACAAAGTATCACATGCAGTCAATTCAGTGTCGATAACTTTTCAAATTTCAAGGTTGATAAGAGGTCAGAAGTGTACAATATATACGCATTTCAAAGCACCTACCTTATTGTTTTTATTGTAAACAGTTACTATGACCGGTAGCGCGAACTTCAGTAGTAACGTATCGTAACGATAAATGTAATTTAGTGTTATCAGTTGAGTTGATTACGTAAATTGGCCACCGTAAAGAGTTTAAAGGCTGACGTTTCG